GTTTTACAATTGCAAATCTCGGTGGTAACTAGGTAATTTGCAATCGGCTACTTGAGTTAAAAGATAAATTCAGTTTGATAATAATAATGATAATAATAATAATAGTAATAATAATAATAATATCTTTATTTATCCTGAATTTAAAAAAAACAACTTTCAGCTGGACACGATAGAACAGCTGGCATGAACCGGTGATCAGCAATATAAAATCGATGAAAATCTAAACTATAAAATCTATATTAAAATTTGCGATTAAGAATCTAAAAGTATAAATATAAGAAAGGAGAAAATTAAGCATAATATATACATATATACACTGAGACACGGAAACCCCGCGCCCACAAAACATATACATATACATATATATCAGTTGTATATACAGGGGTTTAAAAAGGGGCAGCATTGTTGTAAGCAACGCGATCGTGTTAAGAACTTGTTATGGAATATCACCATTTACTGATTGCTCACCTCTTTTTACGTATCTTTATCAGCACCATAATGGCAATTACTATGATTGCTAGTGGGATAATACCAGCAAGTGCCCCGATGATTAGGCCGCTCTTATCCTTTTCTTTACTAGCACTTTTCTTGCGGTCAGTTTTCACAGAGATAGATGTTGTCTACAGAATTTAAGAGTAGCTAGTTTTATATCACAAAATGATTCTATCAGTCTAAAAATAATCAAGGCAAGGTGTATCAGAACACATTTAAGAACTCACGACAAGTGTTTTTTTTTTAAAAAAAACTAAAAGTCTCTTACTGCAGTAAATGATCTACTGTACTTTGTCCTGGTAGTACTTATATGTCCAACCGTATGATCAGGTATCGATGAAACAGGCTCAGTTAAAATTGATGACCGGGTTGTTGGAATTGTCATTGTTTGAACTGATCCTTGTGACGTCCTCTTATGAGTTGTTTTGGGTTTTACAGTGGTAATTCTTGTTATTGTTATAGGTAATGATGGTAGCTGTGGTTGTATTTGTATTGTTGATGGTAGTTCTGTAGATGACTGTGATGGCCTAGGTGGTAATGGACCTGAAGTTTCAATTAGCTGGTGTTAACGNTATCTGCCTTGTCTTCGTGTGTCTTGTGAAGCCCGTTGAGGGAAGCATATACATGAGGAATATTCCCTACAAGGGAAGAGTACATTGCCGAGTCGAGAGTTTCGGTCATGCCTTCTTTTTGTTTGATAGCCTTGGAGTTTTCGTAAACCAGTACGTCAGAGACATCAAAGCCAGGGTTCCTGTGATTGACGTAATCAGCCGCTGGAATGGGATCTGTGAATCAGACAACAATCGAAAAATCAATCGAAAATTCTGAAGACACAGAGAGAGAGAGAGGCGGAGTCGAGAGAGAAAGGGAGAGAGAGCTGTTCGAATAACGTTTCTGAATTTATTATTAAAGAGTAAGAAGCTATTTTCAACATTAAGTTTTGATTCACGTCTTATTTTAAGTAGGCAAATCATTTTGAATATCTCCCTTTTTTTAATTACCGAGAGAACTTTGAAGTCGATCTTTAGTACTTCCAATTGGTATTGCGTTTTCATATGTACACATCTCATGGCTTCCATCTAGCAAACAAAACATGTATGCTAATGATCATTTCATTAAAGAGCGAGGTCAAAAGAATTGTTCAAAATCGAGACACGATTTTACTGAATTAGTTGGTGGGTAATGGTAAATACCCACTTTTCCCTCAGAGGCCTGTTGAAAATACTGGAAATTCAATAGTTTTGACCTGAATCGTCATACATAAATCATTATGAGTGAAGTAGTAAGTAAGTAAGTAGAGACTCTATTTTGGGGGGTTGCACTTAATTTGATAGCCTGTGTCACATCCGGAATTTTCTTCGTAAATACCGTCTGCGAAACATCGCCAGAAAGCTTGTTCTGGACCCCCCGCAAATTGCGCGATTATATATAATAGATTCTTCCATTGAATAACACTATCAAACCGGATGTGAACGAGCAAAGCGTCCTAAGTTTCAAAATGATATTTTCTCTTGATGAGGATCTTTGGACTAGAGCGTTTTTAGAAGTAAAGAATCAGTTCAGAAGTAGAAAATATTAGTTATATTAGTAGTCATATCTCCATTAAAATGTTTAATGGAAGACCACGTTTCTTCCCTAGGTAATTTAGGAATACCGGCTGTAGCTATCGAAAATGATACCGACGTCGCGGAAGCTTTCAATTGCAAAGGTTTATTTTATATGAGATTCCTTCTTTTTTGAGCTTGCCAATGCACTGACGGCACACGTGTGAACTCGCTCTTCGTACTTCAAATTATAGTATTTGCACTTCTAAAATAGGGTTGAATTTTTGTTTTCCATTTAAAAGAAAAACTTCATAATCTTTTGCGATGAATCGATGGCACAAATTAGTAAATTTTTTGGTGTTATTTTGGGAAGGGTAAAGGTCATTCTACTTGAAGATTATCAAGGAAAACACAGCACTCGCTCGTGTTACGATTTTACACTAAACATCCGGTGAGGATCACATCCGGTATGATAGTGTTATCCAATGGAAGTTCACGTTAGAATCAGCAATGGCTAAAAGCCAATCAAAATCTATTATATATAATCGCGCAATTTGCGGGGGGTCCAGAACGAGCTTTCTAGCGATGTTTCGCAGACGGTATTTACTAAGAAAATTCCGGATGTGACGCAGGCTATTAATTTGAAAACTAATAAATTTGTGGCTCTCTATGACAGGTGACGACTTATGACTTGTGACGTCCTCTTATGAGTTGTTTTGGGTTTTGCAGTGGTAATTCTTGTTATTGGTATTGGTATTAGTATTGGTAATGATGGTGGCCGTGACTGTATCTGTGTTTTTAAAGGTACTGCTGTAGATGACTGTGATGGCCTAGGTGGTAATGGACCTGAAGTTTCAATTAGCTGGTGTTAACGCTATTTTATTGGAAAGATCTGAGTTCGACTAAATCAGTCCTGTTTTGTATTTTTCTTTATTTTATCTTCTCTTGGATTTTGTCTTGTTTTTGTATTTAAAATAGCGAAAAACCATAAATTGAGTTCCCCCAGATACTTACATCGAAGTGTTCCATTTATTTTCAATATCACACAATATTGCCGATGGGATTGACAATCAATGTTAAGTCGTATAACCTGACCTTCCATATCATCGAGACTTCTTTTGGTCTATATATGAATATAAAACAGCAATTTACCAAAATTGTCAATTCCCATTGGACTACATCAGTCATTAGTAGATTTGAAAAATAAGGGTAGCCAATCAATGAAAAACTACTTTTTTAACACTTACGTAAAGATACCAGTTGTTGTAGCCTTGCGGCACATATGTATCGAATGTTTCCATAGCCAGTCCACTACTGAGTTGTCTCCAGGTTCCACTGCATGTAAGATTGCTACYTTTGTTGGTTACACCACAGTTTGAAGACGACTTTAATGTTGGTAGCAAGTATGAGTTTGCATACTCCTTTTTGGTTATGGTTATAATTGGACTTCTAGCATTTCTATTATTTAATATCAATGAACAACCTAGAAAATAATGCAATAGTCAGTTTTGTTTTTTGAAAGGCAAAAGATCACATAGTCAGATTAAAATAAAAAATTTGCATGATAAAAGTAGATCATACTAGAAGTAAAATAAGCAAATAAGAATTGGGCGTCACCGACTTCGTTTTGGCGTCAGACGTGAAAGTACCGGTTCACCCTTTTTACGGTAAAAACGCGCTAACAGCGTAAACATTGAAAGCTGTCAAAAATAGGTTATGTCATACTGAAAAATGGTATTGTGCTACAAAAGTAAAACTTGAAGCCTTCACAATGTGAAATTCTATTCCAACTGTACTCAAAATAATTTCGATTTGATCGGCCCATCGTCATATTATATTAAAAAATTGCTCTAAAATTAGTTATTACAAACTACTTTCAAAAAAGGAAATAAGAGAGGTTCCCGATTTTGTTTTAAAGCTATAAGAGATTCAAGAGGTTTTTAAAATATTTTGCTTAACAAAACATTGGAATGACGTCATCACGATGAGCGCGCGCTCACTAAATTCATGCGTAGATAGAATGCGCGTGAACAATGCCCATGAACATCCTTAATTAATCTATTCCTACTGGAAATGAAGAATTTAAATTTGAATTTGAATTTTGATTGCTTAAAAGCAGCTTACAGGCACACAAATAAGCGCGCTATCGTATGCTGTAAAAATAAATTATGGGGCTATGATGGCACTCAATCCTACACTAAGGAAAATCGTGGTTATAGATCAAAACAATCTTATGGTTAACGGTATCACATAATTTTAAAAAAAATTCTAGAATATTGTATAATTCTATAAATTCTATCGATAAATTCTACCAGTATTTTGGAACAATTCAAAATTTTAAGATATATCATAGATTACAATCATAGATGGTTGATTTAATATTAAGCTTGTCTGTACCTATGGCGACAGACGCTCTCTCGCCCCAGTGCTTCCCGAACGACTGGTCATGATATAGGTTTTGTTATCACGAATAGCTTTCGCAAAAGAATTTTTCCCCTTTTTGCGAGGTTATGGAATAGGTTGATTGTTCGATCCCATGACGTCGCAAAGCAATAAGATCATGCAAGGAGACAAGTGAGCATTCAAAGACAATAATTATATTTCAATATTGTAGTGCATGAGCCACTAAGTTTTATAAAATAAATTGCAGTGCGATTATGAATCACGCAGAGACATTAATAAAATTATGAACCAATGGAATATCAAACAACTCACCACTAAGATCATGAAATTCAGTATTGTCTATACACTTCCAACTGTTGTAAAGTGCAAAAGAACTTTTTTCTTTGTTACATTCACATGTGCATCCATTATTACTGCCGACAAGTTTGCCACCCATAGTAGTACACTGTACTGTTGCATTGTCGGCAGAACACGTCGATGGAGGTAATACGAACAGGTCTGGTAGAACATTCCATGATTCCGTGATTCTGCGTTCAATGGAGTATTCCTCTGCTAGAAGTCCTTGCCACAACGATAAAAGAAAGGCGACCAAGTTCTTATTCATTATTGCAGGTGTTTCATTTCTCGATCACCTTGAGCAATTCTTCAGTGTGCAGCTTTACCAAGCAGTACCATACATCCTTACTTCTTGTCCTGCTGTATGTCGCTGGAGTTCTTGTGAATTGTCTTGCAGGTTTGATTGTCTTGGTTAAATAGCTTCGTTCTATAACACAATGTTGTAACAGAAAATGTGACTAAACTGCTCACTAAATTGTCAAAGAATATCAATTGTCTAACACAGAAAACAGAAAAAGATACACTTACCTGATAACAGGTGTCTAATTTACAATTTCAAATTAGGGTTCAACTTATTGGCTGTCGAGGTTTGTTTTAAGAATTTTCATACGACTGACAATACGACCTGAACCTTGACTTCCGCATAGAATAATTCAATGTCTTTAAGAACTGACGAAGGTTATCGAACCATTTAAAAGCGATTCGTGTTATCGTATTTCCTAATACATTACTGAACTGTCCGACAAAATAGCAAATCAGAATAATTTATAGTACTTCTGAGACTTTTATGTGGTAAAGGCATTATATGTTTTCATTTTCAAAATGTGAAGTGATTGAAGATTTGTTTAGAATACTTGCAAACTGAAGATGCTAATAATAGAAGATAGCATGGTTGAATAACGATACAGAGTATCAAGAAAAACAAATGACGTCAGAATGATATTATAACTGTTAATATGCCCTTCAGTTCTTCGGATGGTAAACTTGCTATTCATCATTTATGTAAAGGATATTCTCAAAAACACGTTTATTCCTATATATACAGGGGATATATTCAATGAACTGCTGAATCACGAGCTAACGCATCTCATCGAGAGGAAGTCGTAAAAAACGTGACGCTCAAAACGTCAACATTTCAGCTTCACTAGCTCTCACTCGAGTGAGCAACCAAGAGAATCATTACAAATGTTAGTTTAATATAATTTATAACGCGGCATACTATTGTCAACRGAGGCGGTCCAGTGGTTTGTAAATAAACGGATACCAGTTAAATAATGTTGTACGTGCATACACACATATGTAAACTTCACTATCATACTATTGGGTTGATATTGAGACACGCATACACTGATATTGCGATTGTCGAAAATACTAATTATAACACGTAAGACAAAATGAAAATGAAAATTTTTAATAGCACTTACTTTACAGACGAGGTAGGCTAGTCAATACAAGAGCTTTAGAGCTCGATTATTTCTCGATATAATATCTATTCAACCTACTTAGTTGAAAAATTACTTCCATTTGCCGGCATTAACGCCATCTGAACGATATGGAAAAGGAGCACAATATTCCATTTAGGATATCAATTATCCCAATTAACGTGATCAACAGGAAATCAATGTCTATCAAAATGATAATAAATATATAGAGTGAACAGTGGCCTATGGAGTATTGTATGATCAGGTCATTTTTCATGGATTCTGTGNAATTAACGTGATCAACAGGAAATCAATGTCTATCAAAATGATAATAAATATATAGAGTGAACAGTGGCCTATGGAGTATTGTATGATCAGGTCATTTTTCGTGGATGCTATGGTCGACGTTTCTATTTGTTTACATATTGTCCCAAAAGTCTGTTTCCGCATGGTCAGTACCTTATGTTCATCGGTAATGACCAGTGCGTATTTCTTCTTGCTATAATTTTACGTCTGAAAATTGTGAGTAGACCGCTGACTAACAGTACTGCGTTGACGATTTAAAGATTTAGTTGCACTAAAAAGGACTTGATTGCCATAATAATCTATAGGTTCTTCATTTATCTAGATTGGTATGGTCTTTTCCAGATATTTTAGGCCCAAATATTTTTGAAAAGGGACATTTAAAAAGATATTAGTTTTGTGGCACAGTTTCATAGGTCGTTCAGTGGTGGGGACTGCAGAGACACTATCCCAGGCCGATATATTTTAAAAGGGACGTTTAAACAGATCAGTTTTATAGTGCAGTTTCATAGATCATTCAGTAGTGTGTGTACAAACACTCTTTGGTTACGAACTACCACGCCAAGGGCACGTTAAGACATTTCTGATGCGCTGTGTTGAATCAGTTCATGCCAGGAAAGTCATCCTTCAACATGTAGGATGACTCACATACTTGATACACAAATTGACGTTCACGTTTTACAAGTGCGAAGAGCTTGAATTATACGTAAATTTAAGATCGTTAGGTTTGTAAGAATAAAGTGTCTTAGTGCTTTTTCTCAGGTTTCATGAAAGTACACTTCCAACGGCATCATAGAAAGAGCCATCTTGATCGTTTTTAAGCGGATCGTGGCCACTTTCTATTGGCATGTTCGAGGAGGCACCGTGTGCACGAGGATCATTCTTGTTGAAGCCACCTTTGGATTGTGTTCCATCAATTACATCGTACACGGGCGCATATTGAAGGTCATTATTATCAATAATACTATCATAATGATGTGGTTCTCTGAAAGTGACCAACGTGGCACCGGCGCCGGACTCAGGAATGGTAGACAAGGCTTCTTTTCTGGTTCTATTCGTTAGATCTTGTTGCCCTTCTTTGATGTTCTTGATGTTGGGCTTGGATGGTTGATTGTCAAATTCTTCCACGACTTCGTATACTTTATTTGCTACACTGTTGCGGTGTCCTAATAGTAAAAATGGTAAAAAGAAAATGGATGTCGAAAATTAAGTGGTTGAATTAACTTAACCTTTTAAAGTCGTGTTTTTCTAACACTGATCCTGGTAATGAAACTACAATATTGTTTGGAAGTTTGTCCATTTTTTTGTCCGTGCGAGATTTGGGCTTTGGAAAAAGCGAGATTGTCAATGCAGGCTTCTTGCGAATTTTTTGTCAGTGAATGGAATATGAACAAAATGATTGCTCTCCGTAAAATAATGCTTTACCTCCAGTATTTGCTTTTCCTTTCACATTGTTATTAAGTGCAAAAGCGGTTGTCGCAGGTACGAAACTTGGATTGACGTAAAACCTTTCAAACAATTTAAATTACTGCAGATAAGAAGGAATAATTTCTTTTTGGCTTTTGTGTAATTTTAAACTGATTTTGTGTTGGCAGAATCTAAGTTAGTAAAGCAGTCTTCTACCCTGNCAACAGGAAATCAATGTCTATCAAAATGATAATAAATATATAGAGTGAACAGTGGCCTATGGAGTATTGTATGATCAGGTCATTTTTCATGGATTCTGTGGTCGACGTTTCTATTTGTTTTCAGCTCGTCCCAAAAGTCTGTTTCCGCATGGTCAGTACCTTATGTTCATCGGTAATGACCAGAAAGAGCCATCTTGACCGTTTTTTTAAAAATCATGGCCACTTTCTATTGGCATGTTCGAGGAGGCACCATGTGCACGAGGATCACTCTTGTTGAAGCCACCTTTGGACTGTGTTCCATCAATTACATCGTACACGGGCGCATATCGTGATTGAAGGTCATTTTTATCAATAATACTATCATAATGATGTGGTTCTCTGAAGGTGACCAACGTGGTACCGGTGCCAGACTCAGGAATAGTAGACAAGGCTTCCTTTCTAGTTCTATTCGTTAGATCTTGTTGCCCTTCTTTGATGTTCTTGATGTTGGGCTTGGATGGTTGATTGTCAAATACTTCCACGACTTCGTAGACTTTATTTGCTACACTGTTGCGGTGTCCTAATATTAAAAATGGTAAAAAGAAAATGGATGTCAAAAATTAAGTGGTTGAATTAACTTAACCTTTTAAAGTCGTGTTTTTCTAACACTGATCCTGGTAATGAAACTACAATATTGTTTGGAAGTTTGTCCCTTTTTTTGTCCGTGCGAGCTTTGGGCTTTGGAAAAAGCGAGATTGTCAATGAAGGCTTCTTGCGAATTTTTTGTCAGTGAATGGAATATGAACAAAATAATTCCTCTCCATAAAATAATGCTTTACCTCCAGTATTTGCTTTTCCTTTCACATTGTTATTAAGTGCAGAAGCGGTTGTCGCAGGTACGAAACTTGGATTGACGTAAAACCTTTCAAACAATTTAAATTACTGCAGATAAGAAGGAATAATTTCTTTTTGGCTTCAGTGTAATTTTAAACTGATTTTGTGTTGGCAGAATCTAAGTTAGTAAAGCAGTCTTCTACCCTGGGTGCCAGAGGACGTGTGAGGCTTGGGGGCGAGAGAGAGAGAGAGTGATCTTTAGTGATTTATGATGAGAGATGAAATTTTAATACTCATATTTATCATCCAATAGACAGATAATACTTTAAACTCGTCTAATTGTATTTAGGATTCATTCTACTTCACGTAATGTGATTGCAATATGAACGTTGTTGTACATAAGCAGTATATAC